TCTAAATTGGCATTGCGTATTTCACTTCTTGTTTTTGTCTATTCGTCACCGAGTTCGTGAGCCGGGATTGCAAAATATTCTTCCTATCATTGTAAATTTCTAACAGACAAATAATTTCACCTTCGGTGAAGTTAGGTTTCCGTTGCTTACGTGAGTCGGCCATCATGGATCAATCAAGGAATATGACGCGAAGTTCTTTGGCGCGATTTCTCAGGATTTCAAAACTTCGAAATCTAATTATAGCACGCTTACGCACAGCCGTAGGGCCGTGACGTCAGGCTTAGCTAAACCGTGATTAAGCCTCGGTTGTGCATGCTGCGTAAAAGGAAGGCAACGCTAAGGGACCAGTCATAATTTATGGCTAGGGGGGGAGGGAGATGGGTGGGGGTGATGATGATTATTATGGAGAAGCATGTACAATGTGAGTGACCCCCCGTAAAATTATGTACAAAGTAAGTGCCCCCCCTCCCCTTCCCATATGTTTTAAGCAAGTGTTGTGTACAAAATTGATGACTCCCCAGTACATGTGTACAAATTTGATGACCCCCCTACCTCACCAAAACAAAATGGGTGCCCCCAAAAAATCATCAAATTCCACCCCACCCCACCCCAAAAAAAAGCAACAACAAAAAGCCATAAATTATGAACGGTCCCTAAGCCTGGCGTAACGCTTTACGCCTGACGTAACCTACGCCTGAGATATGCATCCGGGCGGAAAAGCTGTCCTTGTAACTGCTAGTAGCAGCTAACAGTTGCTACCAAAGACCTGCTAGTAGTAGGTAATATTTCCTGGAACGGGTGGAGATATATCTATCGTCATTGTCACGTTTGTACTCGTCCGAAATCCTGGCCCGATGTACAGATGCATTGTAATCTTCAAAACGGTATGGTTTATCAACAAAATTACGGGCTTAAAGAATGTTGTCTGTACTTTATGGCATTTATGTTTCCATCAACTTCACAGATAGTTCCCACTCCAAATCAGGTAATGCATACCCAGATCATAATAGATACCTTGCGATGACATGGCGGATACATACATTCTGGGCGGTATGCTTCAGCTGACGATCTCTAAACAAATACTCGATTATTTTGTCCGAAGACAATCTGAGACTCATCACTGTTCAAAGATTATCTGATTCCACTGACCATTAACAGTCCATCTTCTATGGTCTAAATATCATGACAGCCTCTTTCCACGGTTCACTTTAACCCTGCATGATACGCATCCTCTTCACACCTCTCCCCTCATTATACATGAAAGTTATGGGAAAGAATTCCGCCCGTATCATTCTAGTCAAATCATATCACCTGAATTATTCTTCATCTCATAATGATGAGTTTTAAAAAGTTTGTTTTAAAAAAATTGTATCTGAACATACTGAAAGACATATCCAACTTCTGAAAATGCCACTCAAAGATTTTTTTCCTCATAGTTACAATTTAGGGGGGGGATACGGGCGGAAGTCTTACCAAATTATGTCCTTCAAAACACTTCCACGGTGCGAAGTAATGACTTTCTACCTCTCTCAGTGATCTTGGAGGGTTGCCCACTTCTTCGTCTATTTTCAACACTTCCCGTTTTCAAATATTTTTTCCATATGTAAGAACATGTAGTTCAGGAACTTCTAACAGTCTAGATACCTCTACAAATCGTTTTCCTTTCAGTTTTAACTCCACAACTAATGATTTCACATCATCTGTCAGCTCTGACGACCTACGGCCCATTTCTACATTCATCCCTTAGCGCTGGCGACACGAGAGCAGACGACAAAATTATGACGTCACAGCTCGAGCAGAGTTGTTGACGTTTCATCTCACACTCCGGCGCAGTGATGACTTAGCATAACATCACTGCCACAGGCTAATTTGCATATCACGTGACCGGACTTTTTCTCTTGTTTGTAAACAAGCGCGCATATTCATAATAAGAAGAGACTGGTCTTAGGCAAGCTTTTCGGCGCGCTCTTCACAATGTTTTACATTGTAACATATATATTCTTCCACAACTACGACAGTAAGGTTTATGACAATACATATTTAGATATCAATCTGGTTGCATCGTTTGCTCTCTGTTGGCTTCGATGACAGCACTTGAAGCCGTACTACCTATGTAAACAAAGGATCGCCACGCAAATCGAAACAGTGTTACATGTTTTAGGATATTTTCTCAGTGAAACTACACCACTCTATCAATGATGTTTAATTAGATGTGTAGGCTCGTCAAAAATAAAAGAGTTTCAGAAATATGTACATTTCATCAGAGACCATATACCGATATCGGTATATGGTCCCTGATTTCATTAAATGGACAGATGTGACGAACCGTCACATTTTTCTGGCCTGTGGCAGAGGTGCTATGCTGGCTGGCCGAATGGAACCCTGGGTAGGAGAGTGGTTTCATCTGGGGGTCGTCTCAAAGTCATACACAACGTATGTAGAACTCCGCGACGCGATATCACGTTCGTTTTCATTTCCGCGAATACTTTTGGCATGGGGCTGTAGCTGGTACTCGGCGCTATATAAATATACTAAATAAATTAACTGCGCTGCGGGTGACGCAGCGAAGATCGTTACCCAGTCAAGAATTATGGGATATCATCCAGGTATTTCCTGGGAAGAAGAAAAGCAACAAGGGAAGTCCTGTAAGAGGTCATGTGATAATCACGTGGTTATGGAGAACCCTGTGATGGCTGAAATTGGCATATAAAGAGAACAGTAGTGTACCTGATGACCAGAAGTTAATAACAAATGTAAGTTTGTACAAAGAAGTTATGTAGTTGCGAATAAGACCAGACCATCCAGCAGCTAGAATAGCCAGGATAGTCGTCAATAGGCTTGATAACAGTGTTACTGTTGGTACCTACATAGTCTGTCATACAGACCCTGAAACAATTAGATCCAAGACAGCCCACGCAAGTCTAGATTTCTACAGCTTCAGGCTGAAAATGAAGAAAGTCTCCTCATTATATTTTATTTCTTTTACTATGAACTTTTTTTCTGTAAAATATGTTCATTTCAGAGACTAGTTGTTAGGCCTACACCGAACGGTGTCTTTCAGTGCAATACATAGAGAATACTACACGAGGTCTCATTACATACGAATTATACGAAACGAGTGTCCTTCCTATGGTATCTGACCGAGCGAAAGCGAGGTCAGATAACATAGGAAGATCACGAGTTCGTATAATTCGTATGTAATGAACCGAATCAATATTCTATTATTATTACCCACGTCTTACATGCATTTAAATTGACAAAATAGCGTATTTTTGTTATGTTTTGGTTTTCAAACCGAAACCGGTTTCATAAAGAGGTTGCGGAAGAGTTTTGTACTGTAGTACAATATTTGCATGACGTCACACTAATGACGTCACTGCCATGGTAACCGACGTCACGATGCATGTCAGTTGTCATCGCCTCGTACAGCCTCCTACAGTAAACTACTCCGTTGCACCTCGTTTCTTGGTTTCCAGTTGCTTCATTGGCTAACATCACTGGTGGAAACATTGCGTTTATGTTTTCGCACGGATATAATGTCTCAGTTCGACTCACAATTAAACAGCGACACGGCAATGTTCGCAATGTTTACATTCCCACAATGCATTTAAGTTGTAGAATGAATGAATTCACGTGTTTGTTATGAATGAAAAAATAGTTACGTCAGAATGTGACCTAATTGAGAGGTCATCGGTTATCCCATCAAATCGTTAGAATTTCAGGTCAAGTCGTTACGACACAGGTCAACGCGATACGACACTCGTGTGACGTACGAGATTAATATGCAACTACCCATACGTTGACCACGTGGGTAATAAAGGTGTTGACTATCCATATAGAACTTGGTTTTCCCTCAGTATCACTGTCTCAGTTGTCTGGTATGGAGGGCGGGTAAACTGACTGAGGACAGATATATTAACAGCAACATTCTGAACTTGCGGATAGATGCAAGGCAAATATGTGCCAAACGGAAGAGTACCCTCCATTTTCAGTAGTTTTCAAGACTGTACTGCATCTCCCTGTACAACATCCTTTCATCTGTTTAAGTCAACGGAGGGTGTAGTTTGGATGTATTCCAAGAGGATTATAGTACCACTCATATAAGTTATCTATTTTATCTAGTAATCAAGTATGTAGAGAGTTGATATTTGTTCAAATCTGAAAAGTAACTTCAGTCAAAATACATCCCATCCAGTTTTTAGCTTTCAATTATCCTTATGAATTGTGTTAGAATACCTTATTCTCCTATGTTTGGGACCATGGATTCATTGCTAAGACATACTAAAAGAGACCAACATAATAGAAATGATTAACTTCTAAGTTATATGCAGTCACCAAATGCAATTCGAATGGCATGTCCAAATACACTGATCAGAACAATATTATGCCTTGCATCATAGTTTTGTATCATATTAATATGATGACGTAAACTAGACACCTTTCAGAACTTTCTTTTTAAAGTGATGTTCCAAAAGTTTATGAATGTTTATGTCAATGGTTTCAACAATTGTTTTATACTGCATACACCTGGTTGCCATGCTTTATATATATGGCATAAGTAAAAATATCAAAAATTTATTTATGCCTTATATGCCTCAATACTTGTCACTACAAACTGGTTTTAGAATTGTATATGATATCTGTTGATAAGACGTATCAGGGCTCCAGATAAGGGCCGTATCGGCGTATGTACGGGTAAAAAATATGCACGATACGGTAGGAAATAATTTAGAAAACGTAGCAGATACACACCACAGCAATGGTGTACGGTCTTAGAATCATTTACAGACGTATTTATTTAAAAAAAGTATTCAATTTGTTTTGTTGTTTATTGACCTGTTTACACAAGACTAGCAATGTTGTGGTGCATACATGAAACAAAACACAAGATTACTGATACTCCATTAAATTCCATTCAGTACTCTAAATGTACTCTTAAGGTTTTCCAGTACTCCTATATTGAAAAAATAAGGAGTACGTACTTCTGATGTTGAAAAATTATCTGGAGCCCTCATGTATGTTATTATATTGACATACATCATGCAGGATTTATGGTGAATTTACCGCTTCAAAGTCATATGGTAACTTTAGCTCTCGAAGGACTCTATGCTTTAAGCTTCCAGGCAGTGTTCAAAATCATAGCATTGGAAACAAATGTAATTATTGGTGATTCTCAAAAATACATAAGCTTATGTTTTTTTTCTCATATGTATTTGCAAATGCAGGAAATTATTTAGTCATGCTTCCAAAGTTGTGGGGGCAATGCCACCCCACTTCAAAGATGGGTGTGGCCAACTGACCCCTCTGACCCCCAGTTCCAAGCCTATGCGATATCACTGAAAACCCATATAAATACACCAGATACGGCACTCAATATCTTGGTTGAAGGTGAAGTCTGGAAATTATGGTTAGGATGTTCAAATTCAACTATGCTTCCCTCCACCTATGCACTGTAATATGGCAAGCCATTTTCACATATATGAAGAAATTAAAGATATCTTATGTCTTCTGTCTAAAGATATCAATAATGTTTTTTAAGATATCGGTAAATAATGCCGAAGGGGGTCAACGTTGTTGGCAGTACAGGTACTATGATATGTACCCCAGGTGTTCCCTAAACAAAGTCAAAATACAGAAACGTACCCGGTGCCCTAAACGGGAGATGAGTCCATATTCCGAAATCCAAAACCGAAACTTTGATCTGTGTACTTGTTCCCATTCAACTGACTGCAAGTGAAATTGTGCATTGTGAAACATTCATTACTGTGTATGGCTGTTTCTTATATAACGCAACCAAATAAATCTAATACAACAGTATGACAGTTCGATCAAGAAACGACACAGTGTGTAATGGAATCGCCCTAGAATGCGTTTCTGTATTCTGATTTTGGGTAGGGTACGTTTCTGTATGTACAGAAAGAGGAGCAGATAAGAAGTTACCCCGATTCCCACTATCTACCAGGAAGAACATGCTCCTGTTTTCCACAGATGGCAATCTTCGACACCTGAGCAACGCCTACACCTGGTTCTGTGATGGAATGTTTAAGTCCTGCCCGAAAGCTCTTCAAGAAGATCTACACAATACCTGCCCAGAATTAGACCGAGAGATGTTCCCTCTGGCATACGCCCTTCGACCCGACAAGAAGCAGACGACCTATGAACATCTGTTCTCCACACTCAGTACCCGTTCCTCTGTTCCTGCGTCGCCGACAACAGTGTTCATGGACTTGGAGACAGCAGCATGGAATGCAGGACTAGTGTTGTCAGTGTTTCCGGCCCTGAAGTTAAGGGTGTTTGTTCCACTATACACAGTGTGTATGGAGGCATGCCCAAGAGACGTTCCCTACAAGAGGAACCCCGCTGTTCATTCCTTTGTTAGATGTGCTGCGGTGCTTCCCCTTCTACCATCAACAGAGTTGAAGACTGTTGGTTCCTGACACTTGAAGACAGACCGTCAGAGGTGCCAGGTGTTGACAGGTTTGCAGATTAATGTCACAGACCAGTGGATCAACAGAGACAATCGGTCATCCTGGAACCACTTTGAGAGGAACCACGTTGAGGGATGGCACCACACGGTGAATGGGATGATGAAGACACCACATCCAAACCTGAACAAACTGTTAGCAACACTGCAGAGACTGCAAGCTGAGACTAAGACGAAGATCATTCAGCTCCAGTCATCTGGGAGACTGAGATACAAGAAACAGAAGAACCGCGATCTAAAGACGAGACACAACATGTGAAAATTAACTTTGTCACCGGTCAGACAACCATGGAGCAGTATGCCGATGCTTCATCTCACTGTTTGCATCTCTGAATGCATCTCAAAATGTAAATTAAAACATGCTTGATGCCTTAAGAAAATCATGAAAAATGATTTGTTAACAAATTGTTAACATGTTTATAGAGATTATTTTATCTGAAATGCTGTTACTTTTGCTTTCATTTTACAAACAAACACACACACTTGCATACATCATAATTGTTTTGTTCCCTTATTCGTTTCCATGAGTATATGTTTGATTTTCAACTACATGAAGTAGGTAATACCGGTGTTTCACATTGCCTATTCTTAGATTGTTAAGTGGTATTTTGAGTTTCAGGTTTGGGGTTGATTTAGACATTTCACAATTCGTTGGTTATGACTGCATCTGTCTGAAAGTTACCTGTTTTGTATTATAATTCTCAATATAACAGCTTAAAGGGGCCCTAACTTGATGACACTTGTACTTTCAGATGGCTTATTTGATTTGAACAACTCAGAGGTAATTGTTTGACAAGACAAGAACTGATCACAGTTGAGCACTGATGACGTCCCTGTCAATGATGCTACGCGTCACACTCCTATTCAGCCTGTATATCCTCCAGGTGGTAGCCAACCAGTTCTCACCGCACCTGTTTCCTCCAACCGGACCCTACTTTGAGGGCTGGTACATGAGACTACTGGATGTCCAGTCTGGCCAAAGCATCGGACTCCTGTTTGGTCATGTGCTTCCAAACACAAGAACCGACTTGACCACTCCACTTGTAGCAGCTTCCATCCTGTACAGTGGCGGGTGTTCCACATGCAAATTAATGTCCTACAATGGTTTCTTCAACAGATCACAGGTATGTTTGTATGCATGTTAGCTAAAATGTGTTGCAATATATTTTATCCAAATTAATAAAGTTGCCCTGTTTACTTAATATGGACATTCATTTAAAAGCAATTCAGCTTCTAGATGCTTATATATCCAATTTCCTTGTTTCCTTGAGCTGCAGGGAATATTGTATTTGTGTTTGCTGTTAGTACTATCCCAATCAAAGAAGTGCATTTTCCAAGATGGCGGCACTCCTGCAAGTATCTATATGTAACCAGTCATTAATATCAGATCTTATTTTTTTTTATTTCTTGTTTAGGCCAGACCAATTTTATTTCTTGTTTTACGGATGTTTGTCCTCAGAAAACCTAAAGGCAGGAGCTAAAAAAATAAATAAAATCACCAGTCAAAGTAATATTCCTTCTAAATACTCAAAGTATTTTACTTTTGGCAATTTATGAAGTGTATATGGAGCAAAAAAAATCTAAATAACATGTTCTTGTAAGTTTACATTTTGGGCCAATAAAAACATTAGGATTCTATTTTTTGAGCGAGGAAAATTCATTTTTATTATTTTTATTATTACTGAAAAAATATGACAGGGGGCTCCGTAAAATAAGAAATAGAATTGGTCTGGCCTTGCAACTACATAAAAATCTGAGGATATCCCACCACAGTCACATCAAAAGAAAACTTCTACATACCTTGACTGTGAATGAAATGACAAACAAGAAGTCAGCATTAGCCAGCCTGAAAGCAGCTTTCTTGAGCCATAAGGCACTCCATTGCAGTCTACTATTTGAATATATTTTGTCCGAGTTCTCAATCAAAAATTTGAAAACAGCACAAACGAACATTCTGGAATGTCTAGTTGATGGCAAAGATTCTGTTACAATGCCTCATGTGGGCTATGCAAAATACTTTCCATTCAAATGTTTGTTGCTTTTAAAAGAAATGGACAATGGTGGAATCAGTCATTTGACAAACAACTGTCATTTTGAATATCCTGTTTACCTCTTCCAGGTCGCATGATAAGAAAAGACTGTACAACTGTTACTTTCCCAGTCTGGTAAATGATGCTCTGATTTGTCATACCTGTATTCAGACCATTGTTTAGTAGTAGCAAGAAGTAAGATCTGGTTTTAATGAGATGAAAATATACAGTAATCAGGTGAGACGCATGATTGAAGGAGAGAAAAGGAGACTGGTATGGGTGGGACACATACTGAAGTGACTGAACCTGCCAGTGTAGAAGTCTTCCTGGTGGTGTGAGAGGTCATCAACAGACGATGTTGTGAGATCATCATAATGCTTGCCAGACAGTTCTGTCTTTCAGTTTGGGAAGAGGTGGAAATCTAAGAGTGCTAAATCTGGAGGATGTTCAATGATTGAAAGCCACAGTTTTGAATTGCAGCCTTTTCAGACCTGTGCACAGGTGCATTGGCCTAGTGGAACAACAAATCTTTGGTGATTTGTCCATAGCCTCGATCATGCAGTTTAGCAGAGTATTGACTATATTGACCTTTCAGGAGAATGTCTACTAGTAGGAACTCCCAATATCCGAGGGGTCACCTTACCAGTTGATGGAACAGGACCTCTTCACTGCTTCTGACTGCTGACATCAGCAGTATCTGGCTGACTGTCACGCACCATCCATGGTTCCAAAGAACTCCACAAACTCTCCTGTGTCAACTTCTGAACCATCTAAATTCTTACAAGAGATGATGATCCTAGAACTCCCAATATCCGAAGGGTCACCTTACCAGTTGATGGAACAGTCACCTTACCAGTTGATGGAACAGGACCTCTTCACTGCTTCTGACTGCTGACATCAGCAGTATCAAATAGCTCCTTTAACTCTCCTGTGTCAGCTTCCGAACCATCTAAATTCTTACAAGAGATGATCCAGGAGCATTTCCAGTCAGGAGTCGGAACCCAGCATATTGAAACCTTTGTCCACCAATGTTCCCAACTCTCTCATGAGTGCTGCTTACTGTATCTGCTGTGACATCTGGTGAGGCATCGATCTTCCATAATCATATCAAGTTGTTAGTCAACATCGTCGTGGTGATGGCAGTTGAAGGTTTTCCTTTACTTGTAACTTTTCACATTTTACTACAGCTGTTTTGAAAGAATAGGTCAGCTTTTAGCAATCCATCTTATTGTGCAAGCATGTGTTAACCCGAGTTTTGTTAAGCTGTTGATGTTTATGGAGTTGAATATGAATGTGATGCGACAGTGCCAAGATTTATCTGAGACACTCTTGAAATTCATGGTTATGTGCAAAAACACCCATTTGCTGACTGCAGGACACGTACATTGATTTAATGTGGCCCATTGTACCCTTGGGATGGTCCATTGTACCCTTGGACCCTTGGGATGGTCCATTGTACCCTTGGGATGGTCCATTGTACCCTTGGGATGGTCGGTCCATTGTACCCTTGGGATGGTCCATTGTACCCTTGGGATGGTCCATTGTGCCCTTGGGATGGTCCATTGTACCCTTGGGATGGTCGGCCCATTGTACCCTTGGGATGGTCCATTGTGCCCTTGGGATGGTCGGCCCATTGTACCCTTGGTATAGTCCATTGTGCCCTTGGGATGGTCCATTGTGCCCTTGGGATGGTCGGTCCATTGTGCCCTTGGGATGGTCCATTGTACCCTTGGGATGGTCCATTGTGCCCTTGGGATGGTCGGTCCATTGTACCCTTGGGACCAGGTCCATTGTGCCCTTAGGATGGTCCATTGTACCCTTGGGATGGTGCAGTTGGACCTTTGTAATACAATCAAAGCTAAGGCTCATGTAAATTTTAAGACTCACAGAAGAAACTAGAATCTGATTTTACTCATATAAAAAACATATTCCCCAACCCTCCTTTTATTTTATATATTACTTCATGATGTTACTATAAATAAGAAACAACAACATGTACATATTTTAGTTAATGAAGTTGTCAGCTACTATTATTGGAGACCCAGTGTGAACTGTTTATATGGAAATGTGGGAATCCAAATACTGATTATAGTAAAATGCACACATACCCATAAATTACAGCATGGAAAGATCATGGTTTCATGCAAAAATATTAATTACCACTACTTGTTTGAAAGTAAGTCCAAACTGTATCCATAGAAACAGGAGAAGTTAAATAAATTATGAGTTGAAAATATAAAAAGGCAGTATTGATCATTTTCTCATTGCACATGCAAAAATATTCATTAGTTTGCATGTTAATCCTCGGAAATGAAGATGAGAGTGGTCTGACTAATTATAAGATCCATGTAATTGTGGCAAAATGACAATTTAGATAAATTTCAGTATAGCAAAATGCACCATTTAAGCTGATGAGCAATGAATAAGTTTCATTGAAAAATGGTAAAATCCCTACCCTGGTTGTCTGCATGGAAACATAAGAAAATATAGTTTGTCTACATCATCTTGACTGATGAGCAATGCATATAACACGGTTCACTGAACAACTTTTTCCAGTTATGTCTGGGAATATTATGGGGACACGTACGCCAGCCAAAAACACTATGTCTCCCCTTTTGGCTGGGACACATAACCAGTCAGCAAAACCAACAGCTCTTTCATGGTTCATGTTCTGCCCTCGGAACTCGATCATAGATGGTTGCAGGTCCTAGTGTAGCTGCTCAGATGCCACCTTTGCCCTTTTGTAGAAACCAAATATATGTCAGTTTTTATTGTCTATATTTCTGTTATGAAAAGGGTTGTATTGGGAGACATGGTTGTGTGATGCTTGCTACTCTGTAAAGGACCAATTTGACTTAGAGAGCGACCCACACGACTGGTTCCCAACCCCATTTTCCCCAGGCAATGGAGTTGACTCACTATAACAGTTTCCAGTTCCAAGAGTAGACTTCAAGGCAGTTGTAAGGCATGATGTCATCACATGCAGTTTGATGATGTCATAACATGCAAAGCAATCATCCAAAGGTCTTATGTAAACCCAGGATTCTCGCTGTTGAAAATATGGACCTATTGAAACACGACATGAAGACAGAAAAGCTGGTATTGATGTTGACCCAGATGCCTGCACCATCACCATAACTCCACTGAAATGCCAAAAGTGGGGACCCATGTTCGAGTATCGCCTTAAGAATTTGGGATGGGTCATTTGTGAATCTCTTAATTTGGTTCAACTTTGTCCCAGCAGCTGCCTTGGAAACTGTCTGTATGCACAGGGAGGGGAGTATTAGGCCTAAAAAAAGGTTGTGGTTCCGATTATCCGACTGACCCTTGAATTCTGGTGCCGACCCTAGTTTTTTAAAGAGGTATGAATAAAATAAGCTTTCAGATACCACTGTTTTTGCCCGGCACCAATGGACATCGGTCATTCTTATAGAGAAAGTTGACATGATGGCCACAAGCTTGATTGAATGAACACTTATACATTGATAAATGTGTTATTAGTTCATACTTTACTTCTAAAAAAATTGTAAAAAAAAAAAGAGAATTCCTACCTACCTACCTACCCTAAATTTTAAAGAGGTGTAATCGGAACCACAACATTTTTTTATTTGGCCTTATGAAAGTTTCAACAATGTCTTCACCATGGTGTATGTATTGGCTGAAGCATGGACCTTGTGTACAGATGTCAGTCAAATGTATTCATTCCCACTGTTCTAATGGTTATTTTATTGGCTCCTCCAAGGGTAAGCATGTTTGAAACACCTGTTGTATTGTAAGTTATGTGTACCTGCTTCTTGTTTTCCAGCCTCCCCCAGTGCCCTGACCCAGCATCACCATCATCCCTCTCTTTTCTATGAATATGCCCTCAACTGATGATAGCTGAGTCAGTCATGTGATAGGAAGTGCCATCATACTGCAGTGAGGTGGTGTCTTTTCCAAGATGGCTGCATCTCAGGCTGTGGTATATTCCAGTGGAAGTGCTGCCATCTTGGAAAATCTGCTGTGGTGATGGATCATACCATTACTGTTTACAGAGTGCTACCCAACTCTGGGCAATCTTTAGTATTTGGACCCGTGAAGATCCGGGGTAAAATAGATCTTCCACAACCCATACTTGCCACAAAAGGCGATTCTGCTTGTAAGAGGCGGGTGGTCAGGCTCGCTGACTTGGTTGACACATGTCATCGGTTCCTAATTACGCAGATCGATGCTCATGCTGATGATCACTGGATTGTCTGGTCCAGACTCAATTATTTACCGACTGCCGCCATATAGCTGGAACATTGCTGAGTGCGGCGTAAAACTCAACTTACTCACTCACTTTAGTCATCTGTTGAAAAGATGCTCAATGCTGGGCAGTGAATTACACAGACTCAACTTAACGCAACATAATTGTTTCAGATGAGCATTACAGTCAATGGATCTCCAGTTACTAAGGACCCTGATGACATTTCACCAGCAGTTTTTGAATGGTCGACTGGAAAGAATATCTCCTTCAATGTAAAAGAAAATAGAACACAATTTAACTTCCAGACAGATAGCGCCATATTCCGAGGGGAAATATCTTCTCCCATTCCATGGGGTCCCAGAGGGAAGGGTCCAGAGGGCTGGCTAGAACATCTGCCCCTCCCTCTCCACTGGTTTGTATACAGTCTTCGCTCGAAGGTCAAGTGGTATGAGTTTAGTGTACCTCATCTTGGCCTCCAGGTGACTGGAAAGAATGCTGTGGCTCACATGGAGAAGAACTGGGGCAAATCGTTTCCTCCTGCATGGATCTGGGCTCAGGGGGTCAACCCAACTTCAAACGTAAGTCTGTCACTGTCGGGAGGAATTGTCAAAGATATCATAACTGTAACAGCCTACTTGATTGGCTACAGGAATCCTGCCAAACAACTAACATTGGACTACACGCCTGTTGACAGTAAAGTTGAAAGTAGCCATGATGGGTGTGGAGGCAGCGTGAATCTGACGGCGATTGGGTTGGTACACACTTTGCACATCCACCTCAGTAGTGACCCAAGAGCCTTCAGTGACTGTTTATATGGACCAGAGACCACAGGGTTCCGCCGGGCTTGTGTTGAAAGCTACAGTGCCACGGCAGACATCATGGTGTTCAAGTACGGCAGGCTGATTGATAAACAACACATCTCTCACTATGCCTTAGAGTTTGGAGGCAAATATGTTTGTAATGAGAAATGTAGCTCATAATGCACCTAATGTATATGTGGAAGTATAGAACTGAAGCTGCCATTGAGGTGCAAGAGGATTAGTGGCTGCAGTACCATCAAATCCAACAGTGTCATGTGGTTCGCAGCTGATAAACAGTAATATTTCTGTGCCCTTAGAGATACCACATGCTAGTCAGGTATGTACCAGAGGTCCAGAAACTCTCATGAGACTCATGAAAATCACCACCCATCCAACTGTGACTGACATTCATGAACTTTCCTTGATTTGTTATCCATGTATAAAAAGGTTTTCACGCAGTTGGTTGAATTATACGAAACACTTCCCGAAAGTCAGGCCGGTTTTCAGAATGCTACTCTACAGTTGTCATTATGTGTACACTACAATATCTGTTGAAATCAAAAGGAAGGTTTTCCTGCCTTTGATTTGGTTAATAAGGACCTGCTTTGGTTTGTTCTTTGCCTGAATTCATAGGAAAATGTTTTCTATTATAAAGGACATTTATTCCAAAATATGATACTGGGTTAAAATTTCAAAGAACAGTATATCACATTTGTTTAATTATCCCAGTGGTGTTAGACCAGGCTGCATTTAAGTCATCTTTTGTTTGTACTATTTATTACCCAGTTAGAGAATGATATCCAACAGTCTGGTGGTAGAGGAACCTTGGTACACCAGGATCTAATGGAATGATTTTCACTTTTGTATGCTTTTGTATTTGTGCACTTTTTCAGATAGTCCTTGAACTACAAATAAAATAGATACCTTAAAACAGTTTGTGGCAATTGGCTTTCAAAAGTAATCTCAATAAACCTGAAGTTTTAGTATATAGAAATGGAGGCAAATTAAGGAATTATGAGAAGTAGAAATTGGGGACACACATGTCAGGGTTTCTACATATTATAGCTATTTAGGCATTGTGTTTTCAAATAGATTGTCTTGGTTTATATTATTATTATTATTATACTACCGGTAATATTTGTATCGCGCACCAACATCCAGCTCAACCGGCTCAAAGGTGCTTTGTTTTCCCTCAAACACTGGATGTTAATCATATTACTGATCATATTATCAGTCTGAACTTTCTGGGGATCATACAACTCTTGCAGCCACTTGGTGCAACGAGTTAATGTGGCATTTCCAATTCTTACCCATTCACAGATGGGTGGACTGGAACACATAGGTTTTGGTTTTTCAGACATTGGTGTACAAAGCTTGTAAAGCCCTCGTGCCTATAAAACAACTTGCCTATGTATTTCTGCCTATATATTTTTGCCCATATTTCTCCAAAGGTATTGTTCAGAATGTTTGACCTTCAGATTAAACCTATTATTTAACATCGTTACATAACAATGTTAATGAATGGGGTGTTAATGAATGGATGTTTCTATGATGTTTCCAAGCAATGTCTTGTAAATTTGTTTTATGAATTGGCTTAAAGGTTGCAGTGTTAGGGAAATGTGGTCATTTGGTAATCATGTTGCTACTTTTACTATTTACTAGATGTATGAAATACTGGTATAAACTCCTTCATATGTCTCAAGACAAATATCCTGCACAGTGTTATGATATTTTAGTTAAATTAAACGCAGTGCAGGTGCAACTGTGCCCAACGTAGATGTTCATTATGTTTTACTAGTGTCAGAATTGGCCAAATATGTATACGTTGGGCACAGAGAGGGGCAGCATCAACACTTGTAAGGTGTGGCATGAGAATTGTTTATCTCTCGAGGATTTGTAACGTTTTTTTCACCAGAAACTTCTGAACAAGTGTTGGTGGTTATAGACATGAAATGGTGGTCATTTGACCTCACACACATGAAGGGTCATGTGTTCACACACAGCGTGCTGCATGCACCCCAGGTGGCTCACCACAATAGAAATGGGTGGATGCGTCAGGTTAGACCTAGCCATTGTGGTATTTGTCAATGATGCCCAGTGTTATAATGGCTGACATAACTCTAGTGTTGGGAATTGGTTAAAATCGCATACATGTAATTGATGATTGGTTCATTACAGCTGATCAATCATCGGAAATATTTGGTTAGCGTCATTTATCAAATTCTGTTGGTTATCTTTGTTAATGGACATTAAATAAAGAAAACACTTGTTCTTTTCTTTGTGTGTGTGTGGTGTGTGTGTGTTTGGTTCAAATTGAACAACATGCATTTGCAAATTTTTCATCAATAAATGATGACTGGTATGTTAGGAACATGAATTTCATGGAGTCTTTAAGTTAAATTCAATCGTGACTTGGAATGAGCTTGTAGTGCTTATGTTATGTAACTTGAGTCAAAACCAACCTTGTGGAAAACATGATCAATTGCTTGGTCGTTTAGTCACTGTGCCCAATCTTCAATTATTTCAATTAATTGGACCGCCACTAAACAACTCTATTCTAAATACATCCTCCTGTATACAACAAGCAGAGATGCTCCAAAATATTGCATCAAATATAAACATCACAAAAACTTATTGCATTGTAATAAATCCTAAAACGAATAAGACGGAGAAAACCTGATTCTGGTTAAGATACTAAGACAGCCAAGAGCACATTCTGGGTGAGAAGGCTGAAGTATTCACTGGAACTGATTCATGTCTCGACTGTCTGGTGTTCAGTGATCTGAGCACTACAAAATATGACAGATTTCACTATTGTGAAGAATTATTTTAATATCAAGATATGCTTTATACAATGTAACTGTCCTGACAAATGGAGAATGAGGAATACAGACAGGTGGATCAAATCATATTGTTATAGGTCACAGGAAATGTCCATTTCAAAAAGGTATTCTCTCAAACAGAAAGTAGCTCCAGTCCCTCTACAAATAATCTGTATGCCCTTTCTGGCGGCAGGCAAGTTCATTTTGTGTACATGTCAGCAATTCCTCAGTGTTATGTAACCTTGTATTACAAACTGTTTGAAAATGTTGAGAATACATGATTCACAATTAAGCTGTGTGTAATTACAAAGTGAGGCAAACATCCTTGCCAAACTGTATGAAACTGATTCATGATTCCTGCTCTGTGAAATACCTGCAACATCATTACTACTTTATGAACAAGTATCCAAGCAATAAATACAAATAAGGACATCCTTTGACACAATACATGGCAAAGTAACTGACATGGTTAACCTGCATTGTGAGTATGTACAGATCCAATCAATCTACACAATACATTCACATTACTCATAGCAAACAGATGAAGCCCCTCCTTGCTGCCTGGCAGCCAAACAGTTGTGATGTATGGTGGTATCCAGCAGTACTGTCAGCAAATACAATCGGAGCTGCCCACTGTATGTACAGGACCAGGGGCACACTCTACCTGCCAGCTTCAACATACACAAGTTGTCAAGACATCACCTGGATGTTAACTTGCTGAAGATCTGGTCATTAGTGCTATCCAGCTGAGAGATGTCATCTCAAGCTAGCACAACATAAGCATTGCTCTTGTCACTCTCTTGGGCTTCAGCGCTCATCGATGAGGGGTGTGGCGTCTCCGCCATCTGGACTGCTGTCCAGCATGGGACTAGGTGATGGCCGCACACGAGGAGAACTATGAGAGCGAGGTGTGGTCGGCTTGCGGGTCTCCTGCTTCCTCTTGGCCCACATCTCAGCTGCCTTGGCCCAATCAGTGGCAGCAGGGGTGGAGGGTAGGTGCAGGGTCGGGGTCATGCTGTGTCGCGGGCTGGCGGGTGTGGTCCTATGTTGGGGTGTACGGGCAGGAGTCCTTGGTGTAGTGGGTGGCCAGGCAGAGCGTGGTGTAGGGTTGTAGGAAGGTGTGGTGATGGGCTGCCCTCCTGGGGTAGTGGCTATCTGACCATGGTAGGAGGGGGTCACAAGTGGAGTCATACCCAGGGGTGTGGGTTGCTGGAACATGAACAGATCATAACACTGTATTATCTTTCAATGGCTTCTAATTTTACCAGTGTACCTGCAATTTATCCTTTTCAAAGACAACTACAATTTTCAACTTTAACAGTTTTGCAACATACATTTCATCACACTGTCTTTGTGTATTATTCCAAATAGAGTTAGGTGGCATTAACTTACACATGACAGCAACATAACTTACCTGGTATCCAAAGCCACCACTATATGCACCTGCAAAGTTGCGGTTTGACCCAAACTGTTGCGGTGTAGCATTGGCTACCTGTGCCAGCGTGTTGTAGATGTTGTTGGGGAGGACGGCTGCTGCACGCTGGATAGTGGCGGGATCCACATCTGATAAAGGAGGGACACGCTTGATCAGCAGTTCACTTCATACATCAACATAATCAAAATAGGTATGTGTATAGCACTATCAGTCACAATCAACAGCAACAAGATGTGTCGGAGGCTACTCACTCTGAAGGTTGATGCTGGGGGTGGGGTACGCTGAAGATACCATTGGGGTGCGGGAACTGGCAGGGGTGCCTGAAATAACACAAGTCCAAGTGTAAAGGCTTAACATCATGTATACAGGCTGTTATTTTCCTTTGACAAGATCATATGCAGACTGCAATGAGTGCAGTCTTTACAACATTCAGTACAGTTTGTGGTGCACCACACAGCCTGTGTACGTTTATACCCTCTAAGCTGCTGAAGTCTGATTGTATGATCAGCATTCTATAAGTTTGCGGTCGATAATGAACAATATAACGTTATGGATAACTTCTAGTTTGTGGCATAGAGTGATGTTTCAGTGTAGATTTTTACATGGCTATCAAGCTAAAGTAATACAACCAAGAGACGTACAGTATGTTGTGATAAGTAGCTGAAGTCTGACTATATGACATAAGTGGCATGGGCTCTCACCTGGAATAGGGTCTCGGAAGTGTTCCTTGAACCAGCGGATTAATGAGTTGATGGAATGGAAGATTTGTGTGCGGTACTTGAGGCCCTCTGCTGTCACTGAGAAGTACTCATGGCGGGGTTTGGTCCTGGGAAGGTAGGACAGCAGGAACTTACCAGGGTACTGCTTGGACACGCTGAAGAAGTACGGGATTCTAAAACACAAAACAAACACCAATGAGCAGCATGAAACACAAAAACTTTGATGATTTCAAAACTTGACACATAGTTACAAATTTCTTGTTCTTTCTACTGCGGAATGGAAACGATCTGGAAGAAAGTGTCAGGCCTCCCTGAACAGCTTGCCTGAACACACCCTTCCTCCAATTACTGATCAAGGACAATCACCAGAAGCTCAAGCAGAGCAGGAGACCTGGCCCTATTTAATCATGTGACTGCCAGATAGAATCACTCTCTTGTCTTGGAGCCTAACAATTTATAGCTAAATTTTTTTATAAAAAATGAAACTTATCCTTTCTCACATTATGCACTTGGATGGTGGGCCACAGATGTAGGAAGATGACAACCATGAGATGATTAGCTCACAAGGAGGCCAGCCAAGATTTCTCATCCTCTGCGCATACTTGTGATGGGATGCTTCATTTACCACCTTCGTGATTCTCAGCACAAACTCCCAGGGAGTGGGGCAGTCCCTAATTATGTCATTTCTCTCTGTATCATTTGTCAAGGGACTTCAGTCCCAGATAGCATGTTCTTCGAAACTGCCCCAGCGTTTAAGTCGGGTGAAAGTCAGAACAGCTCTGTAAGCTCTGCTTAACTTTCTGTACCAAGCCTATCCTTCCTGAGCTTTATCAGCACTCTCCATGCTACCCTACTGGCTAGTGACCAGTTATTGCCGCATACCAGTTATCGCCAACACCAACACTTGTCTGTAGAGCTTGCACAGACAGCTTGACTTGACATACATTGACACTTCACGATAGGCGATAGGCTTTAAAATCAAGATGTTTGCGCAAGCGCTACAGCCAGGTGATAACTGGTACGCGGCGATAACTGGTCGCTAGCCAGTATGGGAGAGACACATCCCAGGTGAAGGAGACTCCAAATATCAATGAGAGCAAGATGGTGACAAGGACAAGCAAGCGTTAACAGGATGTAGGAGGATAAGTTTCAAAATATGTTATCATGGAAGTAATTCCAGCAATATCACGGCAAGGGACACCAGAAAATGGCCTCACACATTGTACCCATGTGGGGAATTGAACCCAGGTCATTGGCGTGACAAGGAAACACTTTAACCACTAGGCTACCCCACTGCCTCTCATGCCACTGAACATTCCATATGTTGATACACATTTCTTCAGCTGCTTGGTGGAAGGTGAAAGTTGACTGATAGATGACAGACAAAGAACATGAATAACCATGTGCCAACCTGCACAGTTGACGAGCCTTACTCACCAATGTTCCAGTGAACAGAAAAATACAGCAAATCACCTGGATGGAGCCTTTTTCTTCTCTTCAATCAGCAACTTGTCAAGGATCTCTCTCTTGCCACCTTCAGCATCACGGTAGTACTTGAAGCCCACAATATCCCGCACATATGCTGCCATGGGCTGAATATGTCTGGCAATGATTTCATCCAGGTCCTCAAATTCCTATTCATGCAATGATTTATAACATTAAATGTAACTGTGTCCTACAAGCAGTGCATGATGACCCTAATCTCACAGGGTTGTCTGTAATGTTATAAAGTTATTCATCAGTTTTGCCTTAGATCAAGTATCCCAGGACATCAGAAGAAACACAAGCTTACAGTACATCTTTCAGCAAATTATATTGTATGTCACTGAAAGGTCATTGTATATTGAAGGGACTTAGAATATGCATTTAAAGACTGTTTAGTTTCCCACTTACCTCCTGTGCTATCCAAAGAGAGCGCCCCAAACTGAAGTCGTTCTCCTTGCCCTCCTCACGAATGTCTATGTGTTGCATGATGTCATCAGCAACCTTCCATGTGCACGTCAAGTGGTTGGCTCCCTGGACACATACATGCAGCGTTTAAAGTCATGTGACAATATGTACAAGATCGTCAATGAGAGGACAGAGTATACAGGGGAAACTGGTAGTTTACACAGCAATGTATAACAGACACCCCGTTTAAAGTCATGTGACAAGTTGTACAAGATCGTCAATGAGAGGACAGAGTATACAGGGGAAACTGGTAGTTTACACAGCAATGTATAACAGACACCCCATTTAAAGTCATGTGACAAGTTGTACAAGATCGTCAATGAGAGGACAGAGTATACAGGGGAAACTGGTAGTTTACACAGCAATGTATAACAGACACCCCATTTAAAGTCATGTGATAAGTTGTACAAGATCGTCAATGAGAGGACAGAGTATACAGGGGAAACTGGTAGTTTACACAGCAATGTATAACAGACACCCCATTTAAAGTCATGTGATAAGTTGTACAAGATCGTCAATGAGAGGACAGAGTATACAGGGGAAACTGGTAGTTTACACAGCAATGTATAACAGACACCCCATTTAAAGTCATGTGACAAGTTGTACAAGATCGTCAATGAGAGGACAGAGTATACAGGGGAAACTGGTAGTTTACACAGCAATGTATAACAGACACCCCACTAATACAGTAGTGTTTCTATTTCCTAGGCAGTATGAAAATATTTCACTCGTCTTTAGAAATGCCAGATGTTTCTATTATCAAGATCCCATTAATGACAAAGCAGATTTTCCTCAGTTAGCTCTCTTGTCAAAGAGTCGATATGTGTTCAAGCTCATCACTTCTAAGAGACTTCCCAATAGGTAACTTGCTTCATTTATTAACTTGATGACAATACCAGCAGAGGATGGTAAAATGAGCTTGCATGCATACCTTGCTGCTGGGCCTGATAATGACGTCCCCTTGGTCCATGTTAGTCATCAGTTTCTCACACTCCTTGTACCCGATATTGTGGAAAGATGGGTGAACTATCACACGCTTTATGTAGGCTGAAAGGCAACATTTACACATAATACAGTAAACGGCCAGATGGAGTGTCTAATTCACAGCAATTGTATGAAAATAACAAAGGTGACAAGATACACATTGCTAGCCAGGAACCGTTACTCCACGACATACAACATGACAGCTTGCCAGGAACTGTTACTCCATGACATACAACATGACAGGTGGCCAGGAACTGTTACTCCATGACATACAACATGACAGCTAGCCAGGAACTGTTACTCCATGCCAAACAGCATGACAGCTAGTCAGCAACTGTTACTCCATGACATACAATATGGCAGCTAGCCAGGAACTGTTACTCCATGACATACAACATGACAACTGGCCAGCAACTGTTAATCCATGACATACAGCATGACAACTGGCCAGCAACTGTTACTCCATGACATACAACATGACAGATAGCCAGCAACTGTTACTCCATGACATACAGCATGACAGCTGGCCAGGAACTGTTACTCCATGACATACAGCATGACAGCTAGCCAGGAACTGTTACTCCATGACATACAAGATGACAGCTAGCCAGCAACTGTTACTCCATGATAAACAGCATGACAGCTAGTCAGCAACTGTTACTCCATGACATACAACATGACAGCTTGCCAGGAACTGTTACTCCATGACATACAACATGACAGCTAGCCAGCAATTTTTACTCCATGACATACAACATGATAGTTGGCCAGCAACTGTTACTCCATGACATACAACATGACAGCTTGCCAGGAACTGTTACTCCATGACATACAACATGACAGCTAGCCAGCAATTTTTACTCCATGACATGCAACATGACAGCTGGCCAGGAACTGTTACTCCATGACATACAACATGACAGCTGGCCAGCAACTGTAACTCCATAACATACAGCATGACAACTGGCCAGCAACTGTTACTCCATGACATACAACATGACAGCTGGCCAGCAACTGTAACTCCATAACATACAGCATGACAACTGGCCAGCAACTGTTACTCCATGACATACAGCATGACAGCTAGCCAGCAACTGTTAATCCATGACATACAGTATGACAACTGGCCAGCAACTGTTACTCCATGACATACAACATGACAGCTGGCCAGGAACTGTTACTCCATGACATACAACATGACAGCTAGCCAGCAACTGCTACTCCATGACATACAGCATGACAGCTGGCCAGCAACTGTTACTCCATGACATACAACATGACAGCTAGCCAGCAACTGTAACTCCATAACATACAGCATGACAACTGGCCAGCAACTGTTACTCCATGACATACAACATGACAGCTAGCCAGCAACTGTAACTCCATGACATACAACATGACAGCTGGCCAGGAACTGTTACTCCATGACATACAACATGACAGCTAGCCAGCAACTGTTAATCCATGACATACAGCATGACACTGGCAAGCAACTGTTACTCCATGACATACAACATGACAGATAGTCAGCAACTGTTACTCCATAACATACAACATGACAGCTGGCCAGCAACTGTTACTCCATGACATACAACATGACAGCTGGCCAGCAACTGTTACTCCATAACATACAACATGACAGCTGGCCAGCAACTGTTACTCCATGACATACAACAATGCACCTGGCCAGCAACTGTTACTCCATGACATACAGCATGACAGCTAGCCAGCAACTGTTACTCCATGACATACAGCATGACAGCTAGCCAGCAACTGTCACTCCATGACATACAGCATGACAGCTAGCCAGGAACTGTCACTCCATGACAGCTCGTCTGTAACCGATGCTGGGTGTGTGCATTACTCACTCTGTCTGGCCTGCTGTTTCTTCTTCTCCTGCTCCTTCTCGATGTCCCTCTTCTCCACATCGCAGTCATAGTAAACATCACGCTGAGGTCTACAACATACAACACACCGTTGACATCCGTTTCAGTCATATGCTAAGATTAAATCACAACAGGATATGTACTTACTTCCAAGTGCCTTCCTTGTCATGAAGATCTGATGATTTGCAGGTCATATCCACCTGGAATCTGTCGATATCTATCTTAATGATGCGAGCATGTATTGTCATCCCAACCTACAACACAAATGAGGTCTCAAAGTCATCATCAACGTATTGATGTCTTCAAAAGAAACTCCAGTAATGTTTATCTTCTCAAAATCAGACAGACATTTACACATATATTCTTCTGCATTATAGCTTCTGACTGACTAATGAAACGATCTTCAGCAAGTAGCAGGCAAACATCAGAAGTAGTATTCTACAATCTGCTGGAATTGTAGGTAAGTTCTTCATATCAGGCAGGAAGGATTACTTGTCTCTGTTGTTTCCTTCATTCTCACAAGGAGCTGAGCAAAGGCAATAATAGGCAGAGTTCATTGTTTTATATTTTTAGATTTCAAGTGCAAGTTTCTCGCCAGTTCAACCTGTCACATGACCTTTTACTTTCTTCAACTTGAACATATTTAATGGCTTTCGTACTAGATGTGTCTGTCATGATAAAACATAATTCAATATAATCTTGAAAAAATGCTTTGTGAAAGGTCTTATGGTCTGTTTAACTAAAAACATTTGATGTAATTAGTCCAATAACAGCTAACCACATGTTTGAAGTGGCATTTTATAAAGCCAGGGTATCATTGAAGACACAGTGTCAAGCTCTTTTTTCTTTCAATCTGACACGTTTGTTCTGATGCTTAACTCTTTCAACACCAGTCAACCAGAGGCATTTACTGCCATGACACCGAGTTCCCAGAGACTCTGAGGTCATAGATGAAGCCTATGTTTGTGAAGGAAATTATAAGCTTGTAAAACGTTATTGCTACTACATCCCATACACCATTTAAAAGATCTAATCCTACTGTTGATAAATATGGAGTTTATTTTTATAATATTATTCAAATAATACAACTACAACTTAAATTAATTTATATTTGAATGAAAATGCAAGCTTACATTTGTAACGTCCAGATAAACCACGAAGGAGCAGAAACTATGGCGATTTTTTCCATTTGTGACATGTCATAAATTGCCCGCCTTTTTCTTTTTATATTTTCATTTTACGTAATCAGAAAATTATTATAAAAGATTTCTTAAACAATATGTATGGTTAGCCATTTCCCGATATCCTGCGGCTTTCCGGCTCGGCAAAATGACATAACAACTGAAAATACCTCCGCTTTCGCTTTCTCAGATGAATAACATGCCGCAAATCGTTTGATGTCGGGCATCGTTCGAAACTCTTAACATCAACAATATCACTGTACCCTTGCCAAGAGTATTTTCACAGTTGTAAGAAGCCATTTTATTGGATAAAGATTGGTTTCTAATGACGCTTTTCGCCACAGTCTGCTATAAGGGTTGTGATTGGTCAAAATCAGACACCGTGACCTAAGGCAGCCAATCATATTACGGCAATGGATACCGATCCTCGTAAACGCGAAATCTTTTAGATTTGGACAAAAGTTTTGGGTAAAATAATGCTATTCTGAACATATTAAGCAAGAAATCGCTACCAATAAATGTAAAATTATGGAACTTATTGGACGTGTCGTGCTAGGTTATGACCTGTGACAAAATGCTTCATGTATGTATTTTTCGCATTAAACATCGTGTCCGAGTGAAGATTGAGGCGTGCGAGCCGAGATGTCACTTGTCAGTGACTTGACTTGCATTACATGATCGCACAAAAGATGGAAATAGTAATTTTATATGTACGTTTGACAACTTTTATGAATGCTGTTGTTGATTTTATTCATTAGTTTATTCAATTTATTTAATAATTTCCTCAAACATCGTTACTTTGCTCTTTGACAATGTTATTGTGGACCCGCGTCAAGCATGTGTCCGAGAATCGTTGTTTTCAATAATATTGCGAAAAATAGTTTATAATTTTAATTCTGCTGATAATATATGATAAATTGAAATTTAATAAGTGTTTTCAGACATTGTGAAATGTGATAGATTTGATATATGAATCAAAAGTCAGGTAGGTTCCTAAAATTATGTCTCATTTTGACGTGACTACTGCCTGGCCGATTAATCGGCCTCCGGTGTCTGGGGACTCATAACGTTGTGGCCGATTATTCGGCCTGCGGTGTTGAATGGGTTAATAAAAGGGAGTATCTGTTATATATAGAACAGACCAGAAAAGGGTCTATCAAGGTATCCACCAATCCAGAGTTGTTGGGGTGACCACAGTAAAGATTATTACATCCTACATACCCTGTAACAGGATGACTGTTAGCCACAAAGTCTAACTAGATATACTTGGCTAGTCTTACCTGTACTCTCTCCTCTGGGTTCTTCACTTGCTTGTCACTGATCATCTTGGTCGGGATGAAGCCTGTGACGGAGTTATCCATGCGAGTTTTCACTCCAACTGCTGCCCCAGGACAGTTCCCCGCATCAAAGTGACTCCACACCTGCCAGGAGACAGTTTCAGTGTACTCACAAACATACCAAGAAGTACAAGGCCCCATTGCAAAAAGCTACCTTAACACTACGACTATCAAATGCCTATGTTCAAGTATGGGAGATACAATCACCTTAGCATTTGCATACAAAACTCTTTTGGCCAAATGGGGTTGTGCATGTTTTACCATCACAGACCTCTAGAACTTAATAATTAAAAGTGAAATGCCAGAGCCTAATTACTGATAGAACAAACGGCATAGTGCTTATGTATGTAAGTATGGTACCTCGCTCAGTTCTGGGAAGTCATCCTTCTGACAGAATGGACACTGCCAGAGTCCGGACTCATCATTCCGGACTGGGTTAGCCTGGTCCAGCTGGTCACCTTGTGGACGCTTGTGGGCAATCCCCGTCACTGTGCACATCACCAGTTTACCTAACACACATAACAAATATTGATGATGGAGTACACGTAAGTATTGACATCAGATCCTTTTGATCAGTTCTTTACATTTTATTGTTGTGATATATCAATCCTAGATCATCATCTGAATGCTCATTACAATCCTTCACTAATGCTGTCACTGTCTGCTTACCGACATAGAAGGTTTCTGGTGTTTCTTTTGTGATCATGTTGAATCTTTCTTCATTTGTGGGTGATCTGTATGGAGTTCGCAGGTCCTTGTAGCTCTGGTTCAGTTCCGCCCGGATGTCATACAGTGTAATGTGTTTGTCACCATAACCCTGATAGCAAAATACATTTTGATGAACCTGATGAAGACCTTTGCATCAACATTTCATGGTGAGCAACAGACATAACTGACAAACCATAGCAAACTAAGTCAAAATAACATGTCACCAATTCCATTTACCAATATCAGTAAATGATCATTACCCTGTCCAATGGGTTCATGTGCACTTGAAGCATATTTGTAGCTCCCTTGGGTATGTTCAACCCCAAAGAAGGGTGAGAAAGGTCGGGAGTCACTTTCTCATGTCATCCTACTGAATTACCTTCTGGGGTTACTGGGGCATATTTCCAAACAAAGTCAATTGCCTAACCGCATTTACATCAGTGTGGGTGAAGACCCTCCAAGTCTGAGGTGTAAAGCTGCAAAAACTAACATTGAAACTAAAACTGTGTTGACCATGTGACCTGAGTGTTGTGCACGGATCATGAGATACCACAATATATACCACTTTTGTATGGATTGTCTACAAACTACCACAGGGCTAGCAACTGCCTTGACAACACTATCCACTTCCCCCTCCTTCAAAGTCTACCATAAATCTAACAAAAATCTAACCAAACATCTCTCTAGCATAGAACTAACCACTGCTCTTACTCTCAAAGCTTCCACAGAAGTAACCACTGGCTTCTTGCAAACCCAGCACAAAACTGACCACTTTCCCACTCATTAACCCACCACAAACCTACCACTAACCACTACCCCTGCTCTCTAGCCAACCATAAAATCACTTGTCATTAACCAATGCCCCTAATTTCAAAGCTCCCACAGATGTGACCACTGCTCCCTCTCAATGCTTCCACAAAACCACCCCTGCTATCTCTCTCTTAGCCCCAACAGAACACTAGTTGCCCCTTTTTCTAAGCAACCACCACTCTCTGTCCCCATTTCACCTGTCTCTCCAGCTCCTCAGCAAAAGCATCCAGATCCAGGTCCTTTAGCCTCTCAGGGCTCTCAAGGATCTCCTCTAGGGCACCAGCTGGGTTGGCATCCTCTGCAGTGTCGTCATACTCCAGAGCATCCACTGCCATCTTCCGGGCCCACTCGTACGCCTCCGGATGAACTCGAGATGCATCCAGGACATCCACATAGTTGTCAGTACTAAACACAAGCAAACCATTGTCAACCTGGGACAAGACAATATGTGCAACAGATTTACATACACAATCAAACAGTGTTCTGTCCACGTAGAATGGACCTAACCAATTATTGAGTTATAGAAGATTCAACACAACCGCAAAAGGATGACTAAACAAGGAATATGCAGAGACTAAACTTCACAACAACCATAAGTTTGACAGGTCAAAGTTGAACACAATGGTGCTTGACTGTATAATCTTAATCAGGAAGAACCGTATTATTTTGGATTGTATGGTGTGATCACCACCTTCTGTTTTTCATTTGTTGTTGGTCTCCAAACATAACGGCTTAATGAAACAGTTGCTAGTGTGTGTCACTCACAGTTTCTGCAGTACTTTCTTACTCACTTTCCTGATCTGCAGCATTCAGCAAAAAAAGATTTTAGGTAATTTCAATCTCATTAAAAACATTTTATAACACTAACAGCCATCCAGCTGTCAACAATACCTGTCTCCAAGGCTGTTGGTATCGATCTTAATGAAGCCAGCACAGTTGATAAAGACCTTTGGTCCCATGTTGCACAGAGACACAAGCTGTGTGCGGTTCTCCAGCCTCTGGTTGTTCTGCTTCAGGACCTGCACAATACACAAACTGTATACATCTCGCCTATGCGTGAGTGAGTTTAGTTTAATGCCACACTCAGCAATATTCCAGCTATATGGCGGTGGTCTGTAAACAAGTGTAGAAGTGAGCACAGTTCACATACCCCCGCTTCCCACTTGGGACATGGAAATGACTGATATTGATATATATAATGTGACAAGGATCAGCAGCTCACAAGACTTTCTCCTTGACTCTACTAAACTTTATAAACATGTTAGATAATAGTTTTGCCATGTACTGATTACAGTAATAATTTATGGAAACATTATTTTTTTGTGTTTTCCGTGAAACCTGACATACAATTTAACCTGACATACAATTTAACTTGACTGTCTCATGTTGCACACAATGAAGCGGACGTAGATGAAGATTGTTATTTTTTAGCACATGGCATATCTGTGGGTCATGATTAACTTGTGTATTAAGCTTGGTGAACCTAGCATGTATAGTTTCGATGATATGCTGTGGCCAGGTAACCATCAAACACATTTTGCACCAAGTCATGTTTCCATGGAAACAACAACAAAGCAAATTCTGGAAAAACTTTAAAATAGCAAAAGGCACATCAATGGGTAATGGTTAACATGTGTGTGAAGTTTGGTGAACCTAGCATGTAAACTTTAAGAGATATGCTCCGGACAAAACCATCAAACACATTTGGCACGAAGTCGTGTTTCCATGGAAACAGCAAAAAAAAAAAAATTCTGAAAAAACTTAAAATAGCAAAAGGCAATGGGTAATGATTAACATGTCTGTGAAGTTTGGTGAACCCAGCATGTAAACTTTAAGAGATATGCTACGGACAAAGTTTCGGGACGGAAGGACGGATGGAAGGACGGAAGGACAGAATGAAAGCTTTATACCCCCGTTACTTCGAAGCGGGGGTATAATAATCAAGCCTGGACCAGACAATCCAGTGATCAACAGCATGAGCATCGATCTATGCAGTTGGGAACCGATGACATGTGTCAACCAAGTCAGCAAGCCTGACCACCCGATCCCGTTAGTCGCCTCTTATGACAAACATGGGTTACTGAATATCAATATTCTAACCCGGACCTTCACTGGTCTCTCGTGTGGGAGCTACATTCATGTCTACTTGGAGCCGACTGATCTGACTGACATACCTTCAGGAGATTACTGCCCTTCCTTGGACCAAGTCCACAGATGAACTGTACTAAAGATGACGTGTGCGAGTGAGTGATTGCCTCATTCACATCCACACCCACTTCATTCACTCGGTTGACAAATTCCAGGTACATTGAATTCAGAAGATCTTCCTTTGATACAGAATCCTGCAACAGAAAAACCCTTTCTCAAAGACTGTAGAGAATCATGATGTCAGGGCTAAGTGTAGGGTTGGTACTTGGTTACAGGCCATGTTTGACTTCCAGCTAACTCCCGTCCACACCTTTCATCAGGAGATCAGTGAACCCATAGTCACATACTGCAGTCATTACACAACAGGTGGTGGGTAGGTGAAGTAGTAATGCATGTGATAACTCTTTTGTGTGTAGACGTAAGAAACACCTACCTGAAGTGGGTGATACTTCAAACAGAGGATGTCCTCGTCTGCATTACAGAGCTGTGCGAACTCCACAAGGGGATCCTGCAGTCGGCGTGCTACTGACACTGCATGCCTGAGTACAGGGGGGTACTCGCGGAACTCAGCCTGAAACATAAATCATTGCTCATTTTAACGGACTGAATTTTACAGGATTTTCATATTCATGATATGAATGGACTGTATTATGATGCAGCACATTGCAAATTGCTTCTTCACTTGAATGGTACAGACAGATTTGTGTGGACATTACCTGTGACTTGTTGCTGGCCTCATACACCATGGCTAACTCGTTGTCCATGAGCTCCACACTGATAGGGGCCATCTGCTCCTCTTGTTCCAGGTCACCAATCAACTGCTTGATGTCCTCAATCACTCGCAAAGCATCCCTGGACAATAGTACCAAACATTAGTGATTGGAATCCATGTAACCCAGTACCAGATATTATTGACTGGAATCCCTGTAAGTCAGTACAACATACTATTGATTGGCACCCAAGTAACTCAGTACCAAACATTACTGATTGGCATCCCTGTAACTCAGTACCAAACATTACTGATTGGAATCCCTGTAAGTCAGTACCAAACATCACAGATTGTCATCCCTGTAACACAGTACCCGATATTATTGATTGGCATCCCTGTAACACAGTACCAGATATTACTGATTGGCATCCATGTAAATCAGTACCAAACATTACTGATTGGTATCCCTGCAACACAGTACCAGATATTATTGATTGCCATCCCTGTAACACAGTACCAGATATTACTGATTGGCATCCATGTAAATCAGTACCAAACATTACTGATTGGCATCCCTGTAACACAGTACCAAACATTACTGATTGGCATCCCTGTAACACAGTACCAGATATTATTGATTGGCATCCCCGTAACACAGTACCAGATATTACAGATTGGCATCCCTGTAACACAGTACCAGATATTACTGATTGGCATCCATGTAACACAGTACCAGATATTATTGATTGGCATCCATGTAAAACAGTACCAGATATTATTGATTGGCATCCCTGTAACACAGTACCAGACATTAATGATTGGCATCCATGTAACACAGAACCAAACATTACTGATTGGCATCCCTGTAAATCAGTACCAAATATTACAGATTAGCGTCCATGTAACACAGTACCAAACATTACTGATTGGCATCCCTGTAACTCAGTACCAAACATTACTGATTGGTATCCCTGTAAGTCAGTACCAAATATTACAGATTGGTATCCCTGTTACACAGTACCAAACATTACTGATTGGCATCCCTGTAACACAGTACCAAACATTACAGATTGGTATCCCTGTTACACAGTACCAAATATTACAGATTGGCATCCCTGTAACACAGTACCAAATATTACAGATTGGCATCCCTGTAACACAGTACCAAATATTACAGATTGGCATCCCTGTAACACAGTACCAAATATTACAGATTGGCATCCATGTAACCTGTGTACAGTACAAAACATGATCGACATCATTCTATATCTAAATACATGTAACATTTCCATCTATCTTGAACCATCTGAAAGTGAGCAAAATCAGGTTACATCTAACCTCCCTTATACACACTTTGCAGTAGTGTTTATTTATAGCTCACCTGGCCTCTGCAGTGACAGCTACAACATGGGGTTTCTTGGTAGAAATGAAGTCTTTCAGCTTTTCCATTTCACTCTCCTACAACATCAACATCAGCCTTGATGTATACCCCACTCATTGCAGCCTGTCAGATTTCACACATACCCAGCAGAAACTTGCTTATCCAGGTAATTATGCATTTCAATTATTGCTGAAAAATGTTTTTGGGAAACAGGCAGAAATACGTTGTTTGCAATGCTTCATATGCAATGTAATTTTCCAGAACATAGACTTTACTGATGACTGTTCAATAATTGGCTAAAAAACCACATGGTATGTATGGACACACATCGTGCCAGAAGGCTGTAACATGTTTTGTCATAATCCACAGGTTTTTGAAACTACATACATCAGAGCCTGGATCACATAGTTACTGCCATGAATATCCGGGTATCCCTTTTCACTTACCCCCCCTAACCAAATTCTATGGGGGCATAAACAAAATGTTGCCATACAGTAAGGGTTTTCATTTCTTTGAAGAGAGTGTTCCTTGGGGTACATTATGTATTTTCTGCAGTTAAAAATCTCTTGTGACACTTGTATCCAAGTATCCAACCTTAAAATTACAACCATAAGTCAGTTTTAAGAAATGAATAATTGCTTAGTCTCAGACATTTCAAACAATACTACCCTACTCCCCTCCCACTCGTACTACTCTACACCTCTACTACATCTACTTTCTGAATACCACAAACTGTACCTTGGCATCTCTGTCCATCTGCCTCCAGGCATTGCGACGTTTCAGTATGTGCTCCAGTCTGATGAAGTCGGTCACCTCACCATCTCCATCAATCAGTGCACCAAATGCTGTACTGTCTCTGTATTCATGCACAAGTTATTATTAATGTCTGTGTCATGAACATAAACATAAGAAGAAAACCATCTCCCAATCTCAAATTTACTCAAGTTATTAACAACAAAAAGGTTACATCTTGTCTTCATACAAAATCCTAGCCATTCTCTTCCTCACCTCCAACCCCAATATCACATGATATCTGCCCCCCTTCACCCCTCCTTTAGCCCTAAACACCCATACTATCCTCCTCACCTGATTGCACCCCTTCCTCACAACCCACACTTCCTCCCTATCATCCTCCTCACCTGCTGACTGCGACCCCCTTCCTCACAACCCCACACCTGTGCTTCACCTGTCAGTGCTGCGACCCCCTTCCTCACAACTCCCACACCTCCTCCCTGTCAGTGCTATCCTCACACCTGTCAGTGCTGACTGTGACCCCCTTCCTCACAACCCCACACGCCCTCCCATACTATCCTCCTCCTCTCACCCTATCAGTGCTGACTCCTCACCTGTCAGTGCTGATCAAGCACCCCTTCCTCACAACCCCACACGTCCTCCCATGCTATCCTCCTCACCTGTCAGTGCTGACTGCGACCCCCTTCCTCACAACCCCACACCTCCTCCCGTGCTATCCTCCTCACCTGTCAGTGCTGACTGCGACCCCCTTCCTCACAACCCCACACATCCTCCCATGCTATCCTCCTACCTGTCAGTGCTGACTGTGCGACCCCCTTCCTCACAACCCCACACCTCCTCCCGTGCTATCCTCCTCACCTATCAGTGCTGACTCCGACCCCCTTCCTCACAACCCCACACCTCTTCCCGTGCTATCCTCCTCACCTGTCAGTGCTGACTGCGACCCCCTTCCTCACAACCCCACACCTCCTCCCGTGCTATCCTCCTCACCTGTCAGTGCTGAATGCCACTCCCAGAACCTTGACCCCATGGTTGTCATCATAATCGTAGTCGTCCTCCAGCTGCTGGTCCACCTGGTAGGGAGCCACCTTCAGCCAGTTGTACAGCTTACGACTACAGGCCTGCACACACCATACACACAAATATGTAAGAATGTATGTATACAGACATATGTTCTACAGATACCCACCATATGGAACAAAATATATCACAATTAATCATCATGTACAGCTAATGCACTAAAATAGCTTCTTCATGCATGATCAAGAGTTACATCCCTTCTCTCAATGACCAAGACACTGTACCTTGACAATACCATCCTTGGACTCGGCCAGAAGCTTGGTCCTCAGCTCCTTCTCCATCTGTGGGTACAGGATCTTGGTGAGGGCACGTTTCAGGGCTTCACTCCTCTGAATGTTCCACTGCTGAACCAAGTGGCTGAACTCATCCTAAGATACAAAACATACATCAGTATTATATTATGTTATGCCAATATCCAGTCGTTCGCACAATCTTGCAAAGATTTCTTTTCAGGTTCCTCCTTACCTTGTAATACAGTTGGCGGACTTCTTCAAAGTATGTACTGACACTGCTGCCTTCCTCATCAATGGAAATAGACAATGTCAGCAGCCCTTCTTCTTCTGCCTGTAACAGAATGTTGTTGAGTGTTCCTATCACATGAAATAGCTATCAACACTTGCGTATCTCAGTTAATAACAGACTTGTTTGCATTTCTACATTTACGTATTTTCTTGTATAGATGAATCTGGTCAGCATGATGACCAAAAATACAATAAAAACCAGTTCTTGAACAAGTTATTTGAGAATGTTAAACGGGTGTCACCAGTTTCTGCCTGTTTGATCAGTTCTAGCACAAGTGATGGTTTGTTATTGTAGAAACAATAAACCTTACTGAAAGTAGTGTAAGTGTATGTGACACTACACTATTCCCTTATTCACTGTGATAAAGCATGGATGTCTTCACCAAAGTTCTGCGTCAAACAATGGCTTCAGCATATGTAACTCGTAACACCTGTAGTATAAAACTCATTGGAAGCTTCACCGGGGTAATTCAGGCAATGAGGACAGACTCTTTATTATAAGCATTACTTTTCCCTGAAGAACTTATTTACCTGAGTAAGACGTAGGAACTGTTCATCTCGGAGGTCCTTCACTGGCTTATTGCGAACGTATTTCAGGGTGTAGCAACTGTGTCCTTCATCAATTTCCTAGAGATATACAGAAAAAAACTTGGCATTGGCAACCTGTGAAGTTCGAGTTAGAATGAGCCTTCACTAACCCATGCTTGTCGTAAGAGGCGACTAATGGGATTGGATGGTCAGGCTCGCTGGCTTGGTTGACACATGTCATCGGTTCCCAATTGTGGAGATCGATGTTCATACTGTTAATCACTGGATTGTCTGGTCCAGGCTCGATTATTTACAGACTGCCGCCATATAGGTGGAATATTGCTGAGTGCGGCGTAAAACTAAACTCACTCACTTACTCACTCACTTGGCATTGGCTATTTTACATGGTGAATCCGTTTATCCATGGAAGAATATATACTAGTGTTCCCAGGCATACTAAAGAAAATAATGATACGGCACTGAAGCTTATCTCAATACCCTAATAAAAGTTACCATTGACATTAAGATAGTTTCTGCTTAAATACTGAACTTTTAACAACTTGAAACAAAAATATGAAAAATAGGATAAGTATGTGAATCTTAAGCTTCGATGGTCCTGTTGTTGGTGATATGTTTACCATGGTGGACAAACAGACCATTACTTAAGCCCTCCTGACTTTCAATGGGGTGAGCTAAAAATAATGTATAAGCACAAAAAGAGTACCTTCATTCCCTTCTTTGTTGGCACAACAATTAGCTTGGCTCTCTCACTGTACGTCTGTCGCACACTCTGTCTCACCAGGGGATCATGTGCAATCTGCATGGCAACCATGTGGCGAGCACCCATCAGTACATCTTCCTCTGTGGCAAATTGACTGACAAAGAAGGACAACAGTTGCCTTAATGCTCCTACTCAACATTAATAAGCAACAGATCATCAGGCAATCATTACTTCCCAAACGTTTGTCTGGTCAGTCATTGTATAGTTTCATATCACATCCAACATTCTGCCTGCAACTCACCTACAAACGTAATCCTTGGCCATCTCTGAAGGTTCTATTGGACATTGGTCAACTTCATGACGCTGATAATTGTCTCGTAAATTCTCTCCAAACTGTTCCGGAGTCAGGCCAAAGTGACTGGCCAGGTCACCTGAAAACATGTATGTAGTTTACTTGATACTGTAGAGACATCTTTGATGTGTCATGGGAGTCCATCCTTAACCCCAACTGTATATTATAGCTTAAGTTCAGCAACTTACCGAGCTTTGCATCTTGGCATATGGAGTAGCCACTCTTGCGACTTGCTTGTTTGATGATTTCTGGGGGTGCTTCCTCAGGGTCCTGTTCCCCTCGCTCTGCAGCATTCTCCTGACTCTGCTTACGCTTCTCTGCATTACGCATTTTGACTATGTCATGCCCATAGTAGAGACTGAAGTGTTGGTAAACATCTCTCAGCTCCTCCATTGTCTGGACACTCTTCACTCTGGCAAACACACTACTGTATGAGTACCATCTCAAATACTGCGTTAGCAATACAACCAAATGATATTACAGCATTTCTCATACAACATCACGGTGACCATACAAACACGAGCCTTACACCATGTTTTCTCAAAATATTTCATCAACTGAAGCTTTGAGACTTTTCAGCCATTCCTCAGACAAGACTTTCAGATTGTAGGCTCCAATAGAGGATTACCTGCATGCAAACAAGGGGTAACATTCAGTTCAGCTGAGCATATTAAAACCCACACCACCTCCACAATGCTCTATTACCTGTCAATGTCCTCATCTGTCAAGGGCCGCACACTGGACTCAAGGAGTTTATCAGGATCAGAGTTTTCTTCGAACTGATAGTTCTGCATTTTCTCAAATAGACGCATCAGGTTCTTTTTCCTGGTGACTAACTGTGACCACTGAAAATACAGCATCAATGAAGACATCGTTGTTCCATTAGCAATGGAAGAAAAGGGCAAAATACAAACTGAAACTTAATTCAATTCACCATTTCCTATTTGAAGAAAGTTGTACTTACGATGACATAATATGACAAACCAAGTCACAATCTATCCATCTTGAGAACGAAGTAAGCTTTAACGGTTGCAATTAACAACAGTCAATACAATTTAAACTCATAAAACAAAATGGGTGGAAAACGCCATGAAGGAGTTTCACACAAAAACTTACAATATAATTGTTGACTTTTTGATAAGAGGAATAAATCAATCACATACTGAATTTACATATCATTGGAAAGAAGTTGTTCCATGATTGAATTTGATATGGGTACCATGGATCAGAATTCTGTGATCAGTTTTCATTGCTGATATCATCTTTTCTTCATCTTTTTCAGCTTCATAAACAGTTTCGAAGGAAAATGCAAAATAATATCAGTATTTACAGATAGTACATAACAACGCACACAAGTGTCCAATACAGGGCCAAGGAGGCAATGCTACGTCATACAGTTACTCACACACATACCTTCTCATCATAGTGCCACACTTTCCACAGATCGTTTATGTTCAGCTCAGGCTCAACATACTCTTTGCGATAGAAAGCAATGAATGGAACCTGGAACAAAGACAAGATGAGTTCAGTAAAGTAGATAAAGGTGTGAACCAACTGAACGTCTGACTATAAAGCAACTTCCGTTGGAACGCCTTCCTCAGACCTTAATAACAGCCATAGAAATCTCAGTCACAGATGTCACTCACCTCAAGCCTCTGGTTCCTCATAAAATTGATGGCATCTCTGATCTTGTTGATCATGTTGGGCCCCCGACGGTTAGTCCCTCCAAGATGGCTGCTCTGTTCCTGGTCTAGGTATGGCTGTCAGAACAATACAACAGACATATTTCACCAGTAAGCATATAATCTATAATAACTGCACTGAATAGCTATACTTACCTCTCAAGCTCACATGAACATTGTAAATTCATTGCCATAAAAAAAACCATCTCAGCAGCACACATGTGATCATGTGTTGCGATCACTGTCTGGTGTTATTATTTCATGGACTCTGTAGGTGTCAGATGGCTGATGGCTGATTAGGGAAGAGGAAGAGTATGTAGCCAGAGGAAGAGCATGTTCCCATAAAATCACCAGAAAAACAAGTTGTCACTAAATGGCAAACTGCATCTGCAGGTGTTCAATTGTGGGGTAGAATGGTGTCCTGCTCTCAGTAGGCATCAACTGGCACAGCGAGGTCATGCTACTATCTGTGAGGATGAAGTCCAGTCCAATTGCACCTGCATACAGTCTCCCAAACACAATGCAGATTGTCACCCATGTACGCGACACTGTAGGAGATGGAGCTTGGTTCCTCCAGGTCTACTGACCCCAATCAAGATCATGATGGAGACCCCTCTATAGAGATCGTGTATGACCACATGAAGTATGGACATGACTTCATGATTCCAGACACGATACTCTGTGAAGGCTAGACAGAATCTCAATTCATCAGAAAAATCTACTGGAGCGCAGTTCTGGTCTGTTAAATTGATGTGATCTTCAGCACAATCCAAACATGTCAGTCTGTCATATCAGGTAAGTGGGATGTGAATGCATGCCCTCTGTGACCTGTCTGAGCAGAAATAATAAAGCAACTGGCATTCCTCGGATCCTTTCAGAGTGGGGTGGCTGTCATGAAGACGCAAGGCTGGGATGCAATCAGGAGATAAATATCCCGTAGCATTATGTTGGAATACTGTTGAATACCTCCATGTTGCCAGGTAACTGATCCATACATCTGGCTATGATTCCATGCACTGAATATCACTTGTGATATCTGTTTTGTCTTGTTCGACCACCCCTGCAGGGCCCCGGGGGCCCCCAAATCCAAGAGAAGGTAACTTTAACCTTCTACCTCATAACTCATGTTCCATGCTGACCGTGATCAGACATAATGTGGGGAGGTGGGTGGACCAGTCTAAATACCAAGTAACTAAAACTTTAACAAACCTGTAGAGGTTATGAATTCTTTGAAGAAAGTCTTCCTTGGGGTACATATAAGCATTAAAATGTCCATTTTTAAATACAGACGACAGTTGTAACAATATTTCAATAAAATATTTTACCAAACAAAAACTTGTTTTGTTTAGTGAGACCACCCCTACAGGGCCCCTCACAGGGCCCCCTACAGCCAAGAGCAGGTAACTCTGGCTGCTTACCTCGTACCTCACTTTTCATGCTGAACGTGTCAGACAGAATGATGGGATGTGGGCAGCCGTACCCGAAAGAGGACTTTCTTCAAAGAATTCATAACCTCTACAGGTTTGTAAACTTCTTTTCAGAAGAAGATTGGGTTTTACGTCGTGCTTGAGAATATTTCGCTCATATGACGACGTGCATGCGTGTGTATGTGTATGTGCGGCTGCTTGTACTAGCCCAGACTTAAGCTGGTTTTATAGTGCTAGCCCACTGAGATACCATGACGCAGTGAAGCATGAATACCCCACTCAGACACATTATACTGACTCCGAGCCGACCAGTCCTTGTTGTACCCATTAATGCCGAGCGCCAGGCAGGGACTCCTCCTTGGGGTACATATAAGCAAAAGACAGACTCCCAACGATGGCGAGTCGGGAGCGGTATTCTGTCTGGCTAACATACCCTCTAGTTCAATCGAAACAGCCGAAACCGAGAGAGAGAAAGACACACTTACCGAGACACGTGACTGTTGATGTCAATCAGGCGGGGGCATGGCAACGGGGTAGAAGGAGCCTAGCTTATATGCCACTGGCGAAATTATAATGACAGACATAAGTCCCACCCCCAACCATCAAAATGGGAAGGAATATTCCACTCATAATCCCACACCAGCGAAGCATGGTGCAGGGAGGAAAAACAGTGGATATAGCGTATAACAACGCTAGAGCCAATAAAATTGGTAAAAACCACCACCGATAAAAATTGTGGAATTTTTATAACCGACACCAGGAAGTAAAAACAGTCGTGACTTCGAGAGCTCATTTGGCTAGAGAGTCACGACACTTCCCACTGGTGAGAACTGTCTGGCCAAACCGAGCACGTTCCCCTGAGTGTTTGCCCAGCTGATACTGGGTCGGCTCCAAATAACCGCTGAGCAGATCTCCTCAATGGGCAGTGCCGCGGCATATGCCTTCGATGTAGCCACTGTCCTAACCGAATGAGCCTTTAACCCTTCAGGAATAGTTAACCCTTTGTGAGTGTAACTCTTACAAATGGCAGAGACAAGCCACCTGGATATGGTCTGCTTGTTCGCCAGAAGACCAGCCTTATCTTTCCTGATAGAGCAGCCGTTTGTTTGATATAAGCCTTGAGAGTCTTATGGACATCTAAGATGTGAGTGCGTCGAAGAGAGGTACCGAATGATGGAGGCTGAGTAAAAGCTGGCAGTTCAATAGGTGCTGTTATGTGAAAGGCGCCTGCAATCTTAGGACGGTAAGAGTCTGGCAACCGAATACTGACTCTGTCTTTGTGAAAGACAGTTAGAGCAGGATCCGCTGACATCGCGTGGATATCACCTACCCGCCGGCCAGACGTTACCACCACAAGAAAGGCAGCCTTCCAACTTAACAGCTGGAGCGAAAGAGACGACAGATCGTAAAAGAGAGGACCGGACATCCAATCCAATCAAGAACGGACAGTCGGACGGATTCTGTCCACGCCTGCTAAAAAGCGCTGCACAAGAGCGTGCTGCCCCAAGAGAGCACCGTCGGCAGGTACATGGAAGGCAGAGATTGCCGTGGAGAAGCCCCGGATAGTAGATGCGGCTAAGGCGGCCTCTAGCCGAGACTGCAAAACTCCAGCACTTCAATTACAGTTGAAGAATAGGGATCGAGAATCCCTCTGCCGACACACCAGCGAGTATAACAGGCCTATCTATCCTCATATTGAACGTCAAATCCCTTTGCGAAGCCAGAATTGTGTCTGCAACTGGTGCAAGAATTCCGCTCAATTGATTCCGGACAGTGGCCAGGCCACCCATTGAATCCTGGGATTCGAGTGCAGCTCTTCATTCTGGGATAGTAGGTCCAGGCTGAGCCAGAAACCTGAGTAGTACCGGAAACCAGCTTTGAGCTGACCAAAGAGGTGCAAGGAGCACAAGCAGTCGAGTTGGTTGGGTGGCAAGCTGCGAGAGGACCTTGGGAATAAGGGGTAATGGCGAGAACGCCCACAGAACCCGGCCGGCCCAATCGAGGTGGAAAGCGTCCGAGGCGATGGCTCTCGGATCCGGACACTGGAATCTGGTTCGTCCCTCCAGAAGCAAACAGATCCACCTGGAACGACCCAAACAACTGGGAGATAATCCCGAATATCTCCCGATTGAGCATCCGCTCGTGCGGGGCCAGGATACGTCGAGAGAACGTGTCTGCTCGAACCTGTCACGCTGGTTTCCGGTGGTATGTCGTTCGAAGTAAACCCGAGCATTTTAGCCAAAGGCCGACTGAGTCTCAAGTCGTTTTTTCCGTTGTTGGATAACATGACCGGGCCGTTCGAGTTGTTCATTTTGAATTTGGCTCCAATGGGTTTGAAGATTTCTTCGTTGAGCGAGCACAAGCTGTAGTAGCCGTCCGTTATTTGGTTGCAGGCGTTATTGACTAACAGCCTGTTGTTTTTGCCGTTGATGTTGGTCCATCGCGGGTAGTAGGTGATATCGCAGAGCGCGACCTCGAGCTGACCAGATGTGTTATCGATCGCGTGCAGCAGTTGAACGGAATCACCGCTCGTGATTCCCGGAAGCGTCACATACATATTGAAAAGTAGATATGTATACTAAAATATACAAATTCAAATATGTACAAACCGGGAGTATTTTATTCTAAAAGTGATAATATATGTGCTACATATCTCACGCAACCGAGTATTGTGGTCGATGCAAAGGATAATTTACATTTCATAGTTCGGTTCATTGACGTGTTTAAAAATTATGGGTTTTCGGTCACGAATGTGAAAACAGTACACGCTTGGTTCCACAACCCGATGCAGTTCTGGCAGAATCAATTCAATTTCGCCATGTGATGCCCGACCACCTGGTGCAGTGTGATGTTAAACGACACGCATCGTGATGTGCTGAGTCGGTCTGTATTCTCGTTTCATGTGTACTACCAGATCAGACGTATCCTGATAGAAATCAGCGCCCCGATTCTGCAGGACAAGGCATGGAATGCCGTAGGCAATCCATACGATCGACGTGTGTACGAACGCATTTGAAGTGAATTCTAACTATATCCGAAGACGGTCAATTGGCGTTTGCCGGGTCCGAACCATGAGCATTCCCATTGTTCACAACATGTCTCTCGTGGAAGCCAGCAAACAGCTAGTGAAAGATTGGGGTTACAAGTCGTATAATTACGTCAAGACAAACGAGTGGAACAACGAGTACATGGCTTTCAACGACAGCAAGGATTACCGCGTTTGGAGGTTTGAGCAGGGACCAGCGGACAATTGGAAAATGCTCATGCTGGACACTTCGAAAGGGTTTACTCGTGCCGGTGTCATCAGATTGAACGATTTGATTCGAACGTACGTGTGGGCCGTGCTGGGCACTCAGACGCAAACGCGTTCCAGCATCGTGGGTCATGAAGGGACGGCTTACGACGCGCAGAAACAGTTTCGTGGCTAACGTCGAGGGTGCCATTGCTAGACCGGTCGATCTACCGAGTGCCATCGATCGCTATGAAAACGGGCTGGAATACACCCGGTCAAAAGTCAACTACATGTTCGGCGCGAGACTATACCACCACCGCCGCCCGTTAGCGACATAACCCAGGGTCGATATGATGAAGCCCAAAGAACGCTGGTGATGGTGATTCCTTGTTCCCGGAACAGAATTCGGATCCTGTCGG